GAAGCAGGCCTCCCGGTGAGCAGGGAGCCCGATGCGGGGCTCCATCTCAGGACCTTGGGATCGTGACCCCAGCGGAAGGCAGACGCTTAACGACTGAGCCACCCAGGCGTCCCCTGTTTTGTGCCTTTAAATTCTCAGTTAAGTGCCTGCAGAAAAGCAGGTTTTATGATTCATAAAAGGGGCTGCACAGTGTGAGCTGTTCCATGGGCTTCCCTGCCCTCCTCAGCCGGGCGGGCTCCCTCCTTGGTCTTTTGTATTTTGTCACAGGAATGGTCAGGGGCCCCAGAGTAGGGAGTCCCTTTGCCTTTCTCCTGTATGTAGCGCTGACACACAGGACACTGCTAGAAAGACCCTCTCCCTGGGGACAGTGGGAAGAATGTGGGGACACTGGGAGGCTGAGGGGCAGGAGAGGCAGAGGATCCATACAAAGTCCTTGTGAGGCTGGAGAGCCCCCAGCCCCTTTCTCCTTGACTCCAAGCTCTGCAAGGAGGCAGGCATGCCTTCCATGACGCAGTTCTAAAATCCTTGTCCAGGTTTTCACAGGCCCAGGCTGCCCAGCCTCAAGCCCTCCCCGCGCCCCCCACGCACATACACACGCACGTACACTCACACGCACAATGCGTGCATGCGCGCACGTGCACACAATCCAGCACACCTCAGGGCTGTGGCCCAGGGCAGCCCAGCAGTTCTCAGCATGGTCCTGGGATGGGGGGACACAGGCCCTCTGTGAGGTCAGAATGGAGAGCCCAGGCCCTTAGCATCTCAGCCACAGGGAGTAGAGTCCCTGCCTCCCCTGGGGCTAAGCCTGCAGGTGGAAGGTGGAAGGCTGTGAGGCTGGGGTGGGGAGGAGGGAGAGCGGGGAGCCTCCCCAGGGGCTGGGGGGACAAGGGCCGTGGGCTCTGGGGCTCCCTGCAGGCTTTTGGCCCTGTACGAATGAGGCACAGGCCGACTCCGTGAGCAGACACCTCCCTTCATTCAGCAAATACTTACTGAGACTTACTCTGCACCAGGCACTGTTCTAGGTTCTGGGAAGAGGGCAGGGAGCCACAGAGACAAAATCCAAATGGGGAAACCGTATAGGTGAGGGGCTGAGCAGTGCTGGGGAGAAAAATTCAGGAGGGAAGGGTGTCAGGGAGGGCCCGGGAGTCAGGGCAGGCCTGGTGAGATTTCGGAACAGAGGGATGGAGGCGAGAGTGACCCCCCAGGATGTCTGGGGAGGAGCAGATGAGGCCCAGGGTCTGGGCACAGTAACCAGGAAAATGGCAGTGCCCAGTACCGACTGACCTCCTGCCCAGCCCTGTCCCCTGCATGAGCCCACACCCCTTGCCTCAACCCTGTGGGGGAAATGGGATCGGGATTCCCACTTTACAAAGAGGAAAGCAGGCTCAGGAGGATCAGGGACGAGCCAGGCAGCCCTGAGCTCTCCCACCACACACACATCGGTGGAGTACCCTCCTGGTCAGCAGGTGGAGGGGGAGGTCAGGTGCAGCCCTAGAAAGCCTGCAGCCGGGCGCCTGGGTGGCTCAGTTGGTTAAGCGACTGCCTTCGGCTCGGGTCATGATCCTGGAGTCCCGGGACCGAGTCCCGCATCAGGCTCCCTGCTCGGCGGGGAGCCTGCTTCTCCCTCTGACCCTCTTCCCTCTCGTGCTCTCTGTCTCTCATTCTCTCTCTCAAATAAATAAATAAAATCTTTTAAAAAAAAAAAAAGCAAGCCTGCAGCCAAACACAGGATGACCAGGTGCGGGGAGCCCCCTGGCCTTGCAGGGCCATTATGCAGCCAGACCAGGCATCCACCCAGTGTTAGCTCCCAGGGGCCCCCAGATGCCTTTGGCTTTCCTCCTGATGTAAGAGGGTGGCCCCAAGGAAGGCTGCCTCCTGGCCTCCTATCCAGGTCAGGGCATTGGGACTCCCCACCCTCTCTCCCTCCCAGAGTTGGTCCTCAGCAGCCCTCAGTCCAGAGGCCACACTCAGGTGGGACTCAGATGTGGGCAGGTCCTGACAACCCACCACATTGTCCCCACTCTCCAGCCCTCCACCCCTTAAGTCTCCAGGTGTCTATGAGAAGTCTTTCCACACTGATTGTCTGCTGTACCCTTATGGCCCCAGGGGAGACGGAGGGAAGGAGGGTAAGCCAGCAGGTGCCCTGTGGAGAGGGCCCCTTTCTGCCGGAGTCCCATCCAGTAGGCCTGGCCCAGCACCAGCTGTGTGAGGGGAGGGGCAAGCTGGGGCAGGCCTTTATCTCAAGAACTCCCCAGCACTCCACCCTGCCCACCACCCCCCTGGGCACAAGCAGCCAGCCCTGTCCGGGCAGGGCATACACGGGCACGCACAGTGTCAGACTCTTTGGTTTCTCTGAGACTTACGAGAACCTCAAGAGGCTGTGGGGACAGGAAGACAGGAAGTGAGCTGCCCCAGGTCACACTGCAGGTTGGCCACAGACCCCAAGTCAGTGAGACTCAAAGGCTGGGTCCTTTCCCACTGCATCACTTCCCCTCTGTGACCAGGTCGTCCTGTCGGAGCCCCAGCCTGAGGCTGCCCCTGCCTCGTTCACTGAGGGGTGAAGGAGACACAGCTACCATGCTGCTGAGCCCCCTCCTCCCTGGGAAGGCTCTGCTTCCTTGGCCAGGGTGGGAAATAGCATTAGATTGGGGCCAGGACACACAGGCCCAGGCCATCTCCTACGAAGAACGTGAGCTCCCTGGGGTGCGCCCAAGGAACAAAGGAACCTGTGACCTGAACAAGCCTTGCCCCTCTGAGAGCCCCGGATACCTCATCCGCATGGCGGGGCCCAAACCCCTCTCTTTCCTCCGTGTACTCAGACAGCATGGACCCGGCAGCTCCCAGGTCCAATAGAAAAGCATCTCCTGCAGGAGCCTCAGGCCGCCCACCCATTCAGACTGACAGCCCACTCTCTGTCACTGCCTCCAATGTGACCATCTTGTGACCAAGGCCAGCCTGAGAGTTCTGACATTTGCTTAAAGCTTTATGTTTAAAATAATGGCTTCTTGGGGCTCCTGAGTGGCTCAGTTGGTTAAGCGTCTGCCTTCAGCTCAGGTCATGATCTCGGGGTCCTGGGATCGAGCCCCGAGTCGGGCTCCCTGCGCAGCGGGGGCTCTGCTTCTCCCTCTGCCTCTCCCCCTGCTTATGCTCTGTCGAATAAATAAAATCTTTAAAAATAAATAAATAAAATAAAATAATGGCTTCTCCTTCTCAGTCCTGAGACCAGCTGGGGAGAAAGGCATTCATTAGCCTGATCTCATCCTACAGACAAGGAAACTGAGGCTCGTGGAGGATAAAGTGACCTGCCTAAGGTCATGAGATCCGTAAGAAGCCAAGCACAGCTCCCTCCACCCCACCACAGCACCAAGCACCCATTCCAGGCACCACTGGGGCATAAAGACTGGTCTTCCGTTACTTCCCTTGATGGAACTGCCTCCCAGCGTCCCTGGCCTCCAGACCGGGGGCACAGGCCTGGGAGAGCTGCTGACTGCTGTTCAGCGCTGCTCAGCTGTGCTGTGAGGCAGACGCGGCCTCTCGGTTCCTGGGCCCTTGCCAAGCTCGCTGGAGTTGGCAGCCGCGACAGCACCGAGTCCCCCCGGCACTTGGAAGGCTCTCAGATCCTCGGCTGGAGTGTGATGCCACTTCTCTTGTTAAATGGCACCAGGTGGCAAAGAAAACATGGCACAGGGACCAGAGAGAGAGAGAGAGAAGTGTGCCCCGTGCCGGCTGGGGGGAGGCCAGGGGGTATGGGGAGACCCCGGGTCTCCAACAAAGTGCCGTGCCCAGCGGAGGCAGGCAGGCTGTGTCCAGGCTGCCTTGCTCTTCTGCTTGGATACCTGCTCCATCAGCTCCCAGAGACCTACCCTACTTGCACCCCCTCTCCACACTGCCCTGCAAAGCCCCACCCTCTCTGGCCCAGGCTACTGAGGAGCTGAGACAAGGCTGGTTCCTAGGGGGCACCGGGCCTCTGCCGATCTTGCCCATCCCCTCAGAGACCAACACACACTTCTACTTCTCACCTCGGCCTCTTCCTTCAACCCTGGACGCGGCAACCTCACCACGGGAGCTGGGCTCCCTTCCCCAGCGCCGAGGAGCCCCACGTCTGCAGTCATATTCTCCCTGGCTCGGGCAGTGCTCCCACCCTGCTCCTCGCCCTCTCCTCCCCCAGGCCTGCCCCTGTCCTGAGGCGCGGACCCCAGCACATGGGAGCGGCTCCTTGAGACTGCCCTTCCTGACGGCTGCTTTCTCAGTCAGGGCCTGCCCAGCAGAAGCGCGAGAACATTTGTCCAACCATTAGGCACCTAAGCAAACGACTGGAGGGAAGAGCAGAGGGGGGTCTGGAGGCGGCCCCCCATTAGCTGTGTGACGTGGACCCACCTCTGGCCGCTGCAGTCCTGGCTCCTCGAGAGGAAGTAGGGAAACAGTATCAACCTCGCAGGTCCACCGGGACAGGGGTGGGGGTGGGGGTGGCACAGGAGCGGCTGGTGAGGAGACTAAAGCGTGCAGTGCCCTGCTGCGTCGCGGACACGGGGGACCTCAACTGGAATCTTCGCAGCTGAGGTGCTCGGTGGGCCCCGTGGGGCGGCCTCCAACCAGCCAGGTGTCTGGCTGCCGGAACTTACTGAGCACTAGGGGTGCGGCGCTGGGCCAGGCTCGGGCCCTCATGAGTTTCAAGTGGCCCCACCTCATGGGGAGCATGGGCTCCGGCTGTGATGGCAAAGTCGAAGTGGAGGCCCCGCGGGGCAGGGCCCGGCACTAGCGGGGTGGGGGGCAGCGTCATGGTCCAAGGGAGCCCAGGCCCGGCTCTCCTCCTGAGGTCCCGTCCACCAGCCCCCATGTGCCCAGCTGGCTGACCGGATTCCTGGACTCCAACCCTGGCACTTCTGCAAATCCTCATTAGACCCAGAGGAGACGGGGAGCCACAGTCACGGCGCAAGCCCTGGCCGCCAAGCCGGGAGCCAGCCCTCCAGACAGCCTCTCACATAATTCCCACAAACATATCAATTCATAAGCAGTGTAATTCCTGGGTTTGCACCAGCTTTTGAACCTAGCTCCGTGGGATTTCACATGAGTGACCGTTCACTGAGCGCTTAGCTGGTACCGGGCAAGGTCTTACTGCAAAGGATCATGGGATACACGGAATACAAGTGGAGGGAGAAATACAGCTGCGGGCTTGTCATTTCATTCAGTCCTTGCAATGCAGCAAGGACACTAGAACGATCTCCATTACACACCTGGGAAACTGAGGCTCTATGAGGCCACAGCAGGCTCTGTAAGGATGGCAAGGCTAGGATGTGGGGTCAGATTGGGTCGCAGAGTCCAAGCTCCCCTGCCCGACCCTAACTGTCTGGAGTCAGTGTCCTCATCTGCACAGTCAAGGTGGTGGAGGAGACCAGGGGTTTTCAAACTTATTTTTGAGCCACGGACGCTTTGTTCAAGCGAAGCCTGAGGTGGAGAGGGAGCCCGGCAGGTGGATGAAGAGCATGGCGGGGAGGGGGCTGCATTCCCACCAGCAGGGCTCCGAGTCTGGGCCGTGCGGGGAACCGACCGCACGCAGGCAACAGCGGAAGTCCCCCGCGCCAGGCACCGGGCCGTGGGGAGGGCCAGCTCGGGGGGCCGGCGGCTCTCACACGTCCTCCAGGGCGGGGTTCTCAGAGCTCCTCAGCAGGGACAGCAGGTTCAGGGCTGAGACACCAGGCACGTGGCCCGCGCAGATCTGCAGCATGCGTACCAGGCGCTGGGCCACCGTGGCTCGAAAGCCTTCCACCTGCAGAGGGAGAGCGGAGGACAGGGGTGAGGTGAATCCGGGCCAGAGCAGCTGCACAGGCTGCCAAAGGGGGGCCGGATTCGGACACCACTGCCCATCACGGCCAGGCCCCTGTCCGCAGCACTCCTCACCCAGCAGCTTCCAACTGCTCCGGCTTACAGAGCCTTCAGACGCCCTCCAGGGACACCACAGGCGACGGCCCCTCCTCCAGAGGAAACAAAGCTTAGCAAGCAGGGCTGGTGAAGCAGGCGAAGTGTCTAGTGGCCGCCCAGCTGGGATCTGAACCAGAGCTAGTTCCAACCGACGTCCAGGAGGCAGAAGCTCCAAAGGCTCCTTACCTGGGAGCGAGGAAGACACTCCCAGGCGTGGAAAAGAGGAGTGGACCCAGAGTGGCCCTCATGGGGACAGGGAGGTGCCATCAACAGAGTTCCTTTATCAGGGCTTTCGAAGGCAGGGACCCAGAGGCGCCGTGGGGTGGGGTCAGGTAGGGCGAGCAACTCTGACCCCGGGGCCTGGCGCCACGTCGGTGCCTGGTGAAGGACAAACGATGCTCGGTTGCCCTTCCCTGCCAACGGCCGCCTTAGGAGCGTCTTGTGCTCCCCTTGCTCCCCCTCTAACTGAGGAAGTGGGCCTCACCATCCGACCAGTCACCTTAACTATTCCAAATCCAGAGGTGGCTGTCATTCTCAGCGAGTCTCCTCTCAGCAGACCCTGGTCTGCCACAGCACTCCCCCTCTCCAGAATGCTTCCCACCTGCCCCCCCCCGCCCCCGGGAGGCCACATCCCCCCACCTCCTCCCACCTCACAGGCTGCTCCCTCCTGTCACACATCTAAGTTCTAAGTGCTGCCCCCGCCCACAGCCTTGGCCTTTGCAGGGCTTCTCCCCACACACTCCCTGGAGACCTCATCCAGTTCCGTGATCTAAAACCATCTCACTGCCTACGATGCCCAAATTACATCTCCAGACCCTCCCTCTGAACATCAGACGCACATATGCGGCTCCCCACCCGAGACACCCTGATCTTATTAGCACGTCCCCAGTGGAGTCCCTGAGGTCCTCCCAACCCATCCCCCTGCAGTCGCCCCATCTCAGCCAAAGGCAGCTCCATCCTAACAGTGGCTCAGCTGAAAACTCCAGGGCCACCCTGAGTCTCCCTTCTCCCATGTCTCACACCCAGGCCACCTGCACAGTCGGTGGGCTCCACCTTGGAAAAGCCCCAGTACTGCAGACGGTCCTGCCTCCCTCTTCTCTGAACACCATGGAGCCCAGGCCACTTCTAACTCTTCCAGAAACAGCCCCCCCCCATTTCCCCATTTCTGCCCCCGCTTCCCTTCTACATACTCTCCTCCCAACAGCTGGAGGGATCCATTTAGACCCGCATCACATAAATAGAAAAGAAAAATAAATAAAGCCCAGGTCAGGCCACATCCCTCCCTGCCCCCGCACCCTCCCTGTGGCTCCCGGTTTACTCAGCCAAAAGCCACCGCCCTCACTGAGGCCCACAAGGCCCCCCTGCTCTGGCGACGCGGTGACTGGTGCATCCACCACTACTCTGCCCTGTGTTTGCTGCGCTCGGGCCCGAGGCCTCTCTGGGGGACCCTGGACACACCAGGCAGGCCCCACACGACAGGCCTTGGCGCTTGCTGTTCCTTCGGCCTCATGTGCTCCTTCCAGGGCCTGCCCTCCTCCCATCTTCAGGTCTTCCAAGGTCTCATTAACAGTCACTCCCATCAAGCCCGCTAAACTGTAACCGCTTTACCACCTGACCCACAACATCCTCACTTTCTAACACGTCGCACCCTTGGCTTCTTTACTTTGTTCCTCCACGACAACAGAGCTGGGATTTTTTTCTTCTTCTTCTTCCACTCTTTTGTTCTATGCTGCGTCCCTAGTGCCTAAACAGTGCTTGGCACACTGGACCTAAGAAGTCTTTGTTGCCGAAATCCTCTCCCTCTGAGTTCTGTGGCTTTGCCCCCCGAAATATACCTCCGAGCTGGCTGTTGCTGCTTGCACCTAGGCTCCCCGGCTGGCCTCCTGCAGCAGCCTCGACCCCCAAGCCTCATCCCTGGCCAGGCCTCCTCCAATCCGGAGATGTGGCCCCAAACCCAAGTCTGAGCACATCAGGCTGCTCCCCTCACCTGCAGGAATGACTTCATCCCACCACCAGGCTTCTAGGTCTCCACAAGTCCTTCTGCTGTGGCACGCCGCACCTGCTGGTCTAGCTCACCCGATTCCGAGGGGGCAGGCGCAATGCCTGGCTCATTTGTGTGCTCAGGGAACGGCACAGGGCCCTATCAGCATCGCTCGGAAATACAGTCACTGCGCCAATCCCCCAGCTTCTCGAATGTGTTTCTTCATGTGTAAAAGGGGGCTGAAAATTCCTGCCCCGCAAGGCTTTAAAATACAGCGAGGCTCAAACTCAGGTATGTGGAGTGTGCCCTGCAAAGGACAGCACAGGGACGAGGAGTGATGACTGTCCAAATGCCGGGTGCTTCGTCTGAGGGCAGGCCAGCTGCTGCCTGCAAACAGACAGGGGGCCACAGGCCTTTTCCTGGGCGCTCAGGCTCCCGAGACCCCAGGACCTGGTGTGGCCTGCCACCTACCGGCCACAAGGAGGACTGCACCACACAGGGCCAAGTAGGGGGCACCGCAGCAGGAACCACCGAAGGTTTGAGGTACCTGAGCTGTGGAGCAAAGATTAGGATTCCCCTTTGGAGATAAGGAGATGAAGGCTGCATGTAGGGGAAGCGACTTGTTCAAAGCTACACAGTCAGCAGACTAGGAAGGGCAGGGGACAGCCGTTTGCAAACCCGCGGGCTCTGCCGCTAACTTACTAGCTGCGTGACTGAGCAAGCAGGTCTTGGGTTTCTGGGGTACGTGGTGAGAAAAGCCTGGACGGGAAGGCAATTCGGGCATGCCCCAGGCCTCAGTGTCTTATCTGACATCAGAGTGCTGACTAAAATAGTCATCAAATACGAAAAATGAGTTCATGACAGAGTAGGGTGTGCATCTTTATTGATGCACTGAATAAGGAGAGCTGCCCATCCCCTTATGAGATGGAAACATCTGCCATTTCTGCTGGTAAAACAGCCCTAGCCCCTGCTAGTACTACCTACATCTCTTGCCTTTATTCATAATGCTAAATTTCACATAGAGTTTAGTGGGAAAGAAAGAAGTATTTTCCTCTTGTACAAGTTCACAGATCCTCTGAATTCTAGCCTCAGTCCAGAGGTGTCCACAGACCCATGACTAAGAACCCCAGGTCTGGGTGGTGATAACGGACAGGGTGCTGACTCAGCTCTCTCTGCATGACATCACTTGGCCTTTGGGAACAGATGCAAGACCCAGAACAGAGCAGAAATGAACCTCAAACCCAATAAATAGACCCCAAAACTAACTGAGCAGGTCTGGTACGTGTGTGGGGCGGCCCAGGCCCTGGGAGCCCTCTGAAGACCACCCAGAGGAAGCAGCTGCTGGGCACTTTTGGCAAAAAGTCAGGATTCATACTGCAGAAAGAGAAGCTGAAGAGCAAAATGTATCAGCAAAATAGAAATCTGCTCTGCTGTGCTCATAATTAGGATCACCACTGAGAAACGCCAACAGAAGCGAGTTGGGGCAGAACCGACACCATACACATCCCTCCAACCTTCTACCCACCCACTCCCCCGCCATCCCTGCTGCCTGCCGGATGCCGTGCCCCAGGCTGGGACTGGACCAGGCCTGCAGTCCAGGGGCATAAGGGGGACAAGTGGGCATTCTGACGGCTGGGGGACATGAGCGGCCCTGGTTAATGAAACAGACAAGATGCCTGGTGTCACAGCACTTCCAGCCCAGCAGGAGAGTGCGATATTAACGAGGACCCACCCATACACACACAAGACTTAGTTATGAGAGAAAACAAAGCAAAAGAAAAAGCAAGGCACAAGCTCTAGCACCTGGCATCTAAGAGGTGCTCGGGCCGAACGCGTATCATAGCCCTGCTTTACATCTGTGCACCCCGACGCTTAGGGTGACTGCTGCACCCAAGGTACAGCCCGTGAGCAGACAAGCCAGGGTTCAAATCACGATCTTGTGTCTTCACATCAGGACCCCCTTGCTCGGGCACGCGACGACCCTCCGAGAAGCGTTCTCGACCCACCCACGGCATGCTGACGGCCCTTTCCCTGTGCCCACGCGATCCGTGTCCTCACCTCCAGGTCACAGAAGAGCAGAGGGCTCCGGTAGGTGCGGGCCAGCCTCACGACGGTGTTCCAGTGAATGCTGCAGTGGCCCTCCCGCCCAGCTGCGGAGAAACCGTGAGGGCCACAGGCTGGAATGTCTGCCTTCGCAGCTGGGAGCCAGGAAACACTGGGAAAACTCATTCACTACCCGTCTCAGTTGCTTACTGGTCAGTGGGGTGACCATCCTGTTCAACCTGCTTTTCATCAAATTAGAACATAGGGCGCCTGGGTGGCTCAGTCGTTAAGCGACTGCCTTCAGCTCAGGTCATGATCCTGGAGTCCCTGGATCGAGTCCCGCATCGGGCTCTCTGCTCGGCAGGGGCTCTGCTTCTCCCTCTGACCCTATCCCCTCTCATGTGTTCTCTCTCTCTCATTCTCTCTCTCTCAAATAAATAAATAAAATCTTTAAAAAAAAAAAAAATTAGAACATAAAGCTGGAAGGCCCCGGAGAGAGTGCTATATAAAAACACGAGTTTCCTCATCTCGTGTTGAGGATGGGATGAGGATGGGAACGGCCCCCAGTACTATAGAGATTCAATTAATTAATCTATAGGAATGACCTGGCATTCCTTATTCATCAGTGCTTATTGAGAATAATCTGTGCCAGGCCCTCCCCCCTTCAGGAGTTCACGGTTCAGCTGGGTGGGGGCAGAGAGCTCAGACACACCACCCGTGTAGGAGGAAGGGTGGGGAGTCTATGGGATGGACTCCTCGGGGCCCGGACTGCAGGGCTGGTCAGGGAGGTGTCCGCCACGAGACGGGAAATAGGGGTTAGCTAGGCAAAGAGAAGAGCATTCAAGAGAAGCTGTAGGATATGATCATTAAGGGCCTGGACTCCAGAGGTAGGAATATTGGCTCCACCACTTTTAGCGGTGGGCCTCGGGCAGGTTACTTAACCACACGGGTAGTTTCCTCAGCTACACAACCTAACAGTATGTGCCTCAAAGGGTTGTGTGTAGTGAAGATGAAGTGATACAGAAACGAAGCACTTTTGGAACAATGGCTGGTATACAGTGAGTGCTCAGGAAAGGCGAGCTACTGTTATTTCTGCTGTTAAATACGACAAAGTCTCCGGAACGGCAGGACTTGTTCAGAGAACTATAAGCCGAACCAAAGAACGGGAGGGTGACAGGAGACAAGCCCAGACAGGAAGGTGGAAGGCCGAAATCGTGTCTTCACAGGAGTTGGGATTTTACTCTGAAAGCCACAGGGAGTCACCGGGTAACTCTCCGCAACTATCTCAGCAGAATGATCTGCTCAGATCTGCTTTCGGAGAGATGGCCAACAGGTCAGACCCTGAAGCTCACGTTCTTTCCGTCCCCCCGGGGCGGCCTCAGTGAGGCGTCTACACAGTGCCAGGCACACAGCACCCGCAGCGGGGGCCAAGCAGGGATGCACTTACCGCCCGTGATGAGGAAGCCCACCTTCCCCAGGAAGAAGGTAGCGTCCACGTGGTGCAGCGACTCCTCCACGTTCCGGAGGCTGGTGCGAGAGGACAAACCAGAGGACAGACCTTACCACCGAGAAGGCAGAAGGCCTCCCTCATCCCAGAGAGGCCGGGGAAGGAGATGTAAGAGGAAACACCACGGGGCGCCTGGGTGGCTCAGAGGGTTAAGTGTCTGCCTTCGGCTCAGGTCATGATCCCAGGGTTCTGGGATCGAGTCCCGCATCGGGTTCCCTGCTAGGCGGGAAGCCTGCTTCTCCCTCTGCCTCTCTCTCTCTCTCTCTCTGACTCTCATGAATAAATAAATAAAACATTTAAAAAAAAAAAAAGAGGAAACACCACTAGGGGAGTATTTTTGCTCTTTTCATTTTGTTCAAGGACTTTTAATTACAAAGTGACTCAAGCCAGTAGAACAATCCAACAGTAAATATGGACGCATTCAGTAAAAAGTAAGTCTCCCTCTCCAGCATCAACCTTCCGTCTCAATATCCTGGAGGTTACTGCTGCCCACCGTTTGGGGTATAATGCCATTTGCATATGCATATGAATTTCTCATATGCAAATACAGGCAGTGATATGTATAAGCATGTAGTTGGGTTTGGTTGGGTTCGACCTGTTACATTCTTTGGAATGATCACCTGGTATCACGATCTATTTTCTAAGTGATGGACACTTACACGGTCTCCAATTTTTCACCATTACAAAGAATGCCGCATGAACATTCTTTTCCTTGTATTCTCACACATGTGGGCAAATGTTTCTGTAGGAAAGATGCTAGATGCAGAATGGCTGGGTCACAATGTATGTCTTTCTAAAATGTACCTAGGTAGGGGCACCTGGGTGGCTCAGTGAGTTGAGCGTCTGACTCTTGACTCTTGGTTTCGGCTCAGGTCATGATCTCAGGGTCCTGAAATAGAGCCCCGTGTTGGGGCTTGAGATTCTCCCTCTCCTTCTGCCTCTGCCCACCCCGACTTGTGCATGTGCATGCACGCGCTCTCTCTCTCTCTAAAAAAAAAAAAAAAAAGTACCTAGATATCACAAAATTGCTTTCCAATAAGCTGACAGTATTTACAGTCATATCAAGTATATGAAAACAGTCTTTTCCTCTAGGAAAAGGGCACTTTGACCTTCTGGGTCAAGGGTTTCATTCACTGGTGTCCAAGGAGTGATGAAATCTGTTGTCTCCTGGCCAAAACGCCAACTTGGTCAGGTGAACCAAGCCAAGGTTTCAGCTGAACGAGCAAGGCCTGAGACAAACGGTAAGGACGGCTCTCTGCCCCTAAGTATGACTGTAGAGCAGAATCTCCCCAGAGACCAGTCAGCGTCCCTTTTGAACAGAGAGGTCTCACCCAAAGAGCAACAGATCTGCTGAGTTAGGACCTCTGGCAATCATGGCAGATCTCAGGCCTTTCTCTGCCCCACCATGGGCTCCAGTCACTGCCCACCTGTTCCAGCTGGCTGGGCAGCAGGTTTGGATTTGATCCTGCTGCTGGGTGTGTCTGGTAGCTCTATGTCCCTGGTTCTAGGTGTTTCCACCAGCCTTCCCTTAACCCCCACATGACCGGGTGTCTGCCTTGGTTTCTGTGCTGGATGCTGCACCCTGCCTAACCTCAGTCAGCCATCCCCCAAGAGGGAGAGAGCAGACCTTCCTCCGTACTCCCCAGGTTGGCTGCAGTCCTGTCCCCCAGGGCAGCCAGCACCATAGGGAGGCCAGGCCGGGCCCCCAACATCACCACCACTCATTCTCCCCTGGCTAAAGCCCCACACTGCACTGGGCTCCTGAGCCTGGACTGGCCTTCACCGTCCTGCACACACATTACGCTCCTCCTGCCTGTTACGTTAACCTTCTTCATCTGGAACCTTCTTCTGACTCCCATTTTTACCAGGCTAGCTCGACCTGGTCACCTCCAGCAGAAAGTCTACCCTGCCCCAAGTCCTGAGAGTCAGAGGTCTTGTTGGGGCTCTCATAGCCCAACGTATTCTTCTTTTATAGTATGCCAGATACTGTACTCGTCTGTTCAGGACTCTAGCTTCCTCTCCCAGTGGGTTGGGAACACCTTGGGGACAGGGGTCTGGGCCTGCCATCAGGGATACAGAGAAGGCTGCAGAAAGCTTTAGATAATTGACTGATGCCACTGCTGGAGTTAATTAGCGTCTTTATCTTTTATTTTTTTAAATTTATTTATTTGAGAGAGACAGCAAGCACACAGCGGGGAGGAACAGAGGGAGAAGGGGAGAGAATCTCAAGCAGATTCCGTGCTGAGTGTGGAGCTTGACGTGGAGCTCAATCCCAGGACCCTGAGATCATGACCTGAG